TTCTTCTTCTCTCTTCTTTCTCTCTCTCTCTCTCTCTCTCTCTCTCTCTATTGCTCTCTTTCTCCGCACATGCGGTGAAAAACGAGCTGGTATACGTGACGAAATGCGGTCGGTCCTCACGCGTATATCGCCGACGAGGCCATGGGATATCAAGGCGCGTACAGGTATATACACTTGTCGTGTATTCGCATTTGTGCGCGCGCGCGCGCACGCATGACACTAAGTATCGCAAACCATGCGGCGGTTACTCGCGATAAATTTACCCGCGAATTATAGCAAGAGCAAATCTCCTTCATATCGCGTTCCGTCTTGTCTTGTGCCGATGGTAGCGCAAAGCTGCATTTAGCTGCATTAGGCCGAATATGAAAAATTAATGTTATATAGGATATTATAATTATATAGATACAGGATTTTGGAAACGGATTATATGAAAGAATGATGTTGAAAAAATTTTTTCGGATGAATGGATGTGTCTGTCAAACATCCTTTCACTTGTTTGCTAACAAAGCGGAAAATTTATGGCTTTTAAATCTTTCTTTTGATTTTTATATTTGTCTCCCTTTTTTTTGTCTTTTCTTATTCTCCGTATTTATCGTTTCCATATGTTCAAAGTTAAGGATATATATTGAAATAGAAAAGGATAATTTTCCTATGTACAATAGAAGAGTAATTTATCATTTTATCCTAAATAAACATGCATTTCTTATTTTTTCTATGCATATCATACGATTTGCTAAATTGCTTCGATAATTTTAAGATATTGTCTAGAATATTTCATCTCGTCCGCGGGTATTAAACGTCTAAACATATATATATGAAAATAATATGATTGATTTTGTGCGGATTATATGGGGATTATATTGTGGGGATATGAGAATTGTTTTTTTTTTGCATTAAATAATTTGTTTGCATTAAATAATTGACATTATTATATATTTTTTTGTTATGAATTCATAACAAAAAATACATAATATTTGTCAATAGTCTACATACTATCTCTTTCGGTTAAATTAAAAGTAAGAGAGCTCAAATAAGCTTTTAGAAATATTTTGTTGATATAAATATAAAATAAGTATAAATTATATAATACGTGTTCATATTTTTAATAAATATTGATTCAAATTTTTAATAAATAATGAAATAAAATCTTCAGTGAAAGAGGTCTGTCTTTCGCACTGCAGAG